ACTTGACTCTAAAACCTGTGCATGTGTTCTCTTCTTTCAGTTAATACAGTATTTTCATTGTCTTTAATAATAATTTTTATAATACTTTTATTCATAGTTTTTAGAATTTCTTAAAACTAAATGCTTCCTTTGCAGAGTTTGTTTTTTTGACACAGGATCAAAAAAAAACAATGAACTATGCACTTCATGCTGGCCTTGAACTCAAGAAGTCCAGGGGCATCTCAAACAATGACAGCCACCAGCTGCTGGGATTATAGGCATGTGTGCACCATTCTCAGTATTTTTTTAACCTAATAGCACATTGGGTGTGGTGTCCCATCTTTGTAATAGCGGCACTCAGGAGGCTTAGGCAGAAGCGTGTCCCAGAGATTAAGACCTACCTGGGCTACATAGTGAGTTCAAGGCCACCGTGACCTACAGAGCAAGACCTTGTGTCAACTCACCCCCCAAAAAACTATTAGCCAACAGAATAATTGTAAATGGAAAATATAAACAAAGAGTAAGCCTTAACTTAAAAAAAAAAAAAAAGTATAGTTTCAGCTATCATATATAAAGAATGCAAAATGCTTCAACAGTTTTTAGGATACTTTTAAATAGTGAATTGCTTTAGTTTTCTAATCAAACAAGTTATATTTATCTGAACTACTATGATTTGTACCATTTATATATTACTGGTGCTTAGTGTTGAACCAGGGACCTCACATGTATTAGTCAAAGACCTAATGCTTTTTCTATATTTGAAACAGTGTTTTTGTTCAGGTTGACCTGAAACCTGCAGTCCTACCTCAGCCTCTCAAGTAGCTGTGATTTTAGGTGCACCACGGCCAGCTATGTAATTTTTTTTCCTGTCTGTTTTAAAGTCAGCCTGGTATATTTTATCCCCTATCATATATGAATCTTTTTCAAGATTTTTGTGCTAGTAATAGTTTTTATTTTGTTCCCCAAAAAATCTCAAAATTCCATGAAGGTAAATTGTTTTCTATTTTCTATGACAGGGTTACAGCAGTGCATTAACATAGACTAAATACCAGAGTTCCATTTACTCTTTAATTTTCCTTGTGTTGTTAGTGGTCCTGTTAGCCCATTTTCTGCATTTGCCTTTTTATCTAAGTGGAGAAGAGCCAAAAATGATAATCATAAGCTTACAAGTAATGAAACTGTTTTGGAAAATTGCATAAGAATGTTACATGTCCATTATTAATTCTTATAAGCTCTTGCCTAGTTAAAGTAGGGAATTGGTAGCTAGATGTGCGTTACTTCTTGATCTGAAGGGAAAATAATTGATGGCCTATGAACCATAAAAATTTCCTACAAGTATATAAGGTGACGGCAACCCGTGGGAATTGTTTTTCTTATATCCTCAAGAGAATCCAGGATAGTTTTGGCCTGGAGAGGAGCACCTGAAATAAATAATTACTTCTGGAATCTTACACATCATTATATGTAATAAGAAACCATGCAAGTAGGTTCTTCTCTTTTCATGGTGGGTTCTTTTTACAAATAAAAAAAGACCTAATCATAAATCCTTTATCTTGTGTTAATTATTGAGGTTTTCAGAATAGGTTAAGGCAAAATTATCTCTTAGGTTGTATTTATATTGTGCTAACCCAGCTAGAGAAAAATGCCTTTGGACAATCATGGCTATTACAGTACAAAACAGGGCATTTGGAACTTTTTTTATAAAGGAGACAAGATCATTTTTTTCATTTATCTCTAGGATAGCCACTGATCAGTTTCAATGTAACTATAAATTATTAAGATTATTTTCTGGTTTTTCTCCCCCTTAGTAGTTTATAACACACTATAACAGAAAATAGTTTTTGGTTTTGGTTTTTGCTACTGGGAATCAAACTCAGGACCTTGAGTTAGCCAGGCAGGCACTGTGCCACTGAGCTCTGACGAGAATAGTTTTGACTTGTGAACATCTTATCTGTCATAGGTTGACAGAAGATATGGTCAGTTGTGCTGTAGCTGGAAAAGACATTCTACTCCAGAGTATGTGTACTGTGGTTACATATTCCAAAGCAATATACAATTTAAATCACATTATACATTAGTTACGAAATATGCTGTCGAGTGTAACTTGTCTCTAAAGGGCCACTTATAAGCTGGTTATTGTAGAATTCAGCAGAGTTTTAACCATTCATTTAATCAATAGTCGAGATTTTTTGGATATTATAAAGCATGACAGTGTTTTACAGTCCAGGATGGAGAAATGTTGATTTTAGAGAAGCTTTAGAGAACTGTATTAACTTATTTATGGTCAAGAAGTGAGTGTTCTAGAGATTTTGCTTCCTCTAATGGCCTAGTGACAAATCTTTAAAAGGCTGAGTTTTTTTAAAGATAAGATTTGAAGAGAGATGAGAATCATCCTATGGGCAAGTTAGTCCTGCCTGCAACTTTAGCTTCCCAGTGTCTTTCCCTGAGCTGTTCGTTTTCTCACAGCTGTGTATGCCTCTTCCTCAGTATGTTGAGTAGACACAAAGGTACAGGCACAGTGGCTTCTGTGGCAGGCTGAGCTTCATGAAGATGAGGGCCCTGCTGCGGGAGGGGAGGGTACTTTCTACTACAAAGGTAGATTAATTGAGGTCAGTAATAATTGTGTAAGATCTTGCAAAAAAAATTACCAGAAGCTATATCCTCTAAACTTTAGTTTGAAAGTATGCCAAAAGAGGTAAGCTTATTAGAAAGTTTGAATCAGGAGGTTTAAGAGAAGAGGTGATATAATGTTTATATGTAAGTGGTTTTGGAATTTTCCCCAAGAAATACAGTCAGAAAATCTTCAAGCCATATTTCTGAAGTAAATAGTGCTTTAAAACAAAATAGCAATGAGTTCTTTTCTCACACAGCAGACAGATGTCCAAGACTTTAAAGAGGCACAGAGCCTTAGCTACTGTAAGGCTAGCATGAATCCTCTGGATGCCCTGCTCTTACACTGATAGTGTAACTTGCTCTGTGGCCTTGGCTCTATTACGCATCTGCTCTTACATACACATTTTAAAATGTTGGCTCTTATTTTTTAGCAGTTAAAAATAAAGACTAACTGAAAAGGTAGGTTAGTAGTAGCTGCCTTTGGTCATGTGATCCTGTTGTGAAAAGATCAGATCAGCCTTTTAGGACACCTAGAGAAAACTGGATCTTACTCTCCCATAAAGATTATATTCAACTTAAATATGTTTCATACTCCCCAACTTTCATATTTGGGACAAGGATACTAAACTTTGAGAATAGTTTTTTGGTAAAATTGCTTAGCCAATACTCCATAGTGGAAAAAGCTGCCTCCTATTATAAACTAAAGGCTAGAAATATTGTTTTTTAGGCATTGAACTAAGACCAGTTATTATGTAGTATATATAATTTTAGGTCTCCATTAGGTAAATCAATCATATAACAGATTAAGCTCTGTTAAAAACTACATTTTCCTATGTGCGTGTGTTTCTTACGACACATATAACATATAAGCAGTGTTCTGTTTGCTGCAGGGGCCATCCCAGTTTAGGAAATCATTTTTTGTGATAGTTGGCTGGGGATATTATCAGGTATGTTGTCTTTTTGTCTACATCTAGTAAAGAATCTTATATTTATTATAGAGCCATTTTCTCTAATGATAAAAGTTAGGCAGCATTAAAAACAATTTAAGAGCTTCCTTTTTGTATTTACTGTTCTGAGTCCTATGAATCATCCTATTAGTACTGTATTGTTTAACCCTTAAGGTGGTACTTTTGATTTCCCCACCCGTTCATTCCACAGTCTTTCGTATCTTAATAAATAGCACTGTTATTAACATAGTTGCTCAAATCCAGGAAGTACCCTGAATTCTTGCCCATCATTATTTCCCATATCTAGTCCATCAGTCTGCCTAGTTCTCCTTTTCTTCTAGAAATACTTTGTCAGTTCTGTCACCTAACCTAGTGTTAAGTGGCTTCTTCTTGCTCATGCTTCATTTATCCCATAATCCATTCTTGGCTGGGAGTCTAGCTGAGTGGTAGAGGGGCTACCTAGCCTGTATGAGACTCTTGATTCTATGTCTAGCATGAAAGGGGTGAAAAAAGAAAAAGACAAGGATCTTACCCATTCTCTACTCTCTGCCAGACTGGTCCTTTTGAAATATGAATCAGAGTTATATGTGTAGTTTAGTATTAAAGCGTGTACTTAGCATGCAAAGCCCTGTGTTCAATTCCCAGCATCAGGAAAAGAAAGTTATGTATTCACCTCAACTTAAAGCATAATGGCATTCCATTACACTTGATATAAAATTAAAGCTCCTAGATCGGCATGGTAGCATACACTTGTAATTCCAGCTGCTCGCAAGACTGAGGCTGGAGGATTGCAAATCTGCAGCCAGGCTGGTAAACAGACCAGTACCCTGTCTCAAAATAGAAGTTTTTGTAAGGGCTGAAGATGTAACTCATTAGTAAACACTAGCCTAGCATAATTGAGGTCCTGGGCGCAATCCCTATACCAATAGAACCAAAGTTCTGCAAATCTTGAGATAGATAGATAGATAGATAGGTAGGTAGGCAGGCAGGCAGGCAGGCAGGCAGGTAGGTAGGTAGGTAGGTAGATAGATTTTTTTTTTCCCAGAACCAGGGATTGAACTCGGACCCTGGCGCTTGCCAAGGAAGCGCTTACTCCACCGAGCCATCTCCCCAGCCCCTATCTTGCTATATTCTAAGCACCAACTACACTGACTTTCTTTTGTGTCCTTAATACTAAAGCATTTCCTGTCTTGTTTTAGATGTTGTTCACATGTCGTCTCAGAGAAGTCATCTTTCTAGTCCCCATTTAGCTTCCCTACCCCCTTACCTCATCATAGTCTTCGTTTTTCAGAGTATCCATCTTAGTCTAAAATTATTTTATGTGTTATCCCCTTCTCAGTGCCCTCAATTACTATGAGAACTGGAATCATGTTAGCCTGTTTTACTTTCCTTAGCATCTGAAACACACTGATACCTGAGACATAGTAGATATAAGTATGTATTTGTAAGTTATTTATAAGAAAACTAATTAATTTGAATTTGTGTTCTCATTTTCCTATGAAGATTTCATGTAGCTAGTTTAATAGGTGAAGACTGAGTGACCAACTTAATAGAAAATAAAATGAAGAGGGTAGTAAACTAGCAAAAGTAGAGTGATCTGTTGATTGTGCTAGAATAGTACGAATTTCAGTTTCATACATTTAATAATAAGTTGGACATGGTGGCACACACTTGTAATCCCAGCACTTGAGAGACTGAGGCAGGAGGTTCTCTGGGAGTTCCAGGCCACCCTGGGGTACATAGTTCAAGGTCAGCCTGAACTGCGTAGTGAAACTCAATCTCAAAAAGACCAAAAAAACCCTCAAAAACTTAATAATAAAAATAATTTCCCCTTTGCATGTATGTCCATATAAACAGACCTAAAGGTACTGCCTATTCTTTATAAACTAGCTGGATCATAGTGGTTGGTAAATTGCAGGCAATTTAATTTCTTGTTTCTCTAAAACAGTTCTCTTAAGTTTCTCTAAAATTTTAGAACACCATTTCTAATTAAGCAACTTAGACATTCTTATATTTTAAATATTTTTTTCCAAAGAGGGATTCTGACTACATAGCCAAAGGAGAATTTTAAAGTATTATAAAAACATAGTCTTAAGTAAAATTATAAACATTTGTAGTGATTGTCAAAAACTGGAACTATATTTGTGGGATTGGAAATTTTTAGTATATTTTTGCCCCTGATGGTACTAAATGATTGGAATAATTAGCTACTTAAATCTTCTTAAACCTACAGTGATATTAGTCCATGGTATTTAATTTAAAAAGACCTGGGCCGGCCAAATAGCTCATCGGATTAATACGCCTGCTTAGACAGACACAGGGGCCTGCAGTTTGATCCCCAGGCCTGCTGTGCCGGCCCTGCCCCTGGAATGCACTGAAATGGCAATTGAGACTAGCCATGGGGGCATGGGCCTATAATCCCAGCACTTGGGAGGCTGTAAACAGGAAGATCACTACGAGTCCACTGTACACAATGAGACCTGTAGACCCTGTCATAAATACAAACAAATAATACTAATTTTAAAAAGACCTGACATAAGTTGGTTGTGTTGGCATGCCCCTTTGTAATCCCAGCACTTGCGGGCTGGGGCAGAAGGATCACATGTCCAGTTTGCTGAGGCCTTCCTGTACCTTTTATTATGTAGATAACTGTTACACTAGAGTTCTTGTGTTAAACCATGAAGATTCTTTAAGGTAGAGCCAAATTTTATTGAGATTTTGCCACCACGGAGGAAAAAAAAATCTTATGTTGGTAGTGGCTTTACATGAAGCTTGGTCAGCAGAAGTTTGTTCTACCGTTGTCATGAGACACCTATACTTTAAACCTCACAGCTCTTTATTCCCATTCCTCAGATGGGCATTAGTTTTTTAGTTATTTTAATTAGTAAAATTATGATTATATATATATATATATATATATATATATATATAATTTTTTTTTCCAGTACCAGGCATTGAACTCAGGACCTTGTGCTTGCCAGGCAAGCACTTACTCTACTTAGCTGTCTCCCCGGCCCCAGTAAAATGATCTTTAAAATACTAAATACTGAAGGAAAATTCATTTTATAGTGAACACTTTCTAAAGAAGCAGAAAATTTTTCAACCTCTTCATGCTTTTAAATTCATAAAGGTTTGATGCAACATTGTATAGAAATTTATTTTCCAACTAGGAAGTAATTTGAGCACAAGTATAATTACAACATAGGATTTCTATGTATTTTTCACTTTTTTGCCACTACTGTTGCTTACATCTGAGTTTCTGTGGTGTTAGTGTGAACTAAAAAGGATTATCTTTGGTACCTCATATATGAATGAAGTAGTCATGAGAAATCATTGATTAGTACAGAACATACCACATTAACATTGCCTTCTAACCCAAAAATCCAAGATGCTCCAAAAGTTTCAACTTTGCAGCCATGGGCATTACATCATAAAGGGGAAAATTCCACACCTGCTCTCATGTGATAGTTTGTAGCTAAAAGAGAGGTCCACTAATGACACTATATGGTTACTTTCAGGCTGTGTGTGTAAAGTGTTTCATTTATAAAGAATCAATGAGGGGCCGAGGAGATAGCTCAGTAGAATAAGTGCCAGATCCTGAGTTCGATCCCTAGTATTGAGGGGGGGAAAAAAAGAATCAATGAATTTTGTGTTTATACGTGGGTCATAGCTATAAGATATCTCATAAGCAAGTGTAAATATTCTCAAATTTCCAAAGTACCCCTGGTCAGAAGTGTTTAGTGTAAAGGATGTAAACACATAACCTGTCTGAACCTGCTGGCTTTCATTTTATTCTTTTTTGTGGGTTACAGGCCCTGGGCAGCCACTTGTCCCTACTGAGTCAAAGGCTATTCCCCACGACCAGCTTAGTCTCATGGTTTTTATTTTAAAGTACTGAACTCGTAAAATCTCAATAAAACATGTACTTTTTATTCTGGGGTGTCCAAGAAAAGACATCATCAATAGCAAGCACAAAGTACAGTTTCTCTGGTTTTGAAATAACGTCAGTCTTTTTGGTTGTGTTATGTGGTCTGCTCTTGTGTTTTCCAACTAAAGTACTTTTCTTTACCTAGGTTACTCACTATAAACAGTATCCACCCAACACAAGCAAAGTTTATTCATACTTTGAGTGCCGTGAAAAGAAGATAGAAAACTCCAAAGTAAGGAAGGTGAAATACGAGGAAACAGTATTTTATGGGTTGCAGTACATTCTTAATAAATATTTAAAAGGTATTACTTTTCCTAGTACATTTAAAATTCTTTTATGTAACTTCATATTTTTCCCTATATTGTCATACTCAGTTCTTTGAAATAACTTTTTGAGTAATTTAACTTCTGTGTTTCATTACTTTAACTCATGATAGCAAACCTTGTAAGAGCTTTCAGTGATATAAACAGCCTGCTGCAGCACGCTTGCCATAAGTTCACCACTGCTTTACTTGCGTAAAGGTTCTTTTGAAAATTTTTTAATATTAATTTGAACATGTTTAACTTTAGAATTTACTTTGTATACTTGGTTATTCTAAGTATGAGAAAGCTTTTTTGAAACTGTTAAGTTATGGAGTAGAATTTAAAAAGTCAGTAATATTTAGAGGTTAGCATGATTAGCTAATATATTTAATAATTAACTTAAAGCTAAGGATTTGTTACTTACCTAGAAATTCATTTTAAATTATGATAGAAATTATAACTCACATAGTTTTATACTGATACATTTTATCAGAAAACCCAGTTATTTCTGTGTTTTGTTTTATTTTGTTTATTGGAAAGGCCATTTTTAGTCCGTTTCATTGTGATGTTATTAGGAAAGAACCATTCCCAAAGTGTTTTGTTTTTGGGGGGGGTGTTCTTGAGGGGGAGTTGGTGGTACTGGGGATTGAACTCAGGGCCTTGTGTGTCTACGCAAACACTCTACCACTGAGCTATATCCCCAGTCTATCCCAAAGACCTTGGAAGTTTTGAAGTAAAATTAATTTCTTAATTAATATGAATATGAACCAAATTTACTTTCATGCAAATGGTGACTTTTCCATCATCTGTTTTAAAATCAAGTAGTTATACTATACAGTTGAAAATCTTGCCTAGATAAGATCTATTTTGTGCCAGGATTGCCCAAGTTATTTTAAAGAAGTTTACTAGTTACTTGTATAGTTTGCAAAGACTGATGGTGTGTTTTATTTATTTTTACTTAGAATCAATCCAGATCCTCACACATGGTAGGCAATTGCTCTACTACTCAGTTACACACTCGGCCCTTGATGGTGTATTTTAATTCAGTTCCACAGCTTAAAAACTTGATTAAATGCATACAGTTAACACAACTAAAATGTGCACATCACCCACATTAGGACAGCATTATTGTAGATGGTTCTGTGCTTAAACTTGTTTATTTCTTGTAGCCATCCTGTCAGCAGGTACTTTCCTATTATCTTTATTTTATAAGAAAAATTAGATGAAATTGCATGGGGGGGGGGCTGGCAAGATGGCTCAGTGGTCTAAAGCACCTACTTGGAACAAGCTCGGCAAAGCACAGGGACCGCGGTTCAATCCCCCAGCACCACATGCCAGCCAGCCCCGCCCCCTGGTGGGCTGAGCTGGCCACACACACACACACACACACACACACACACACTAAATAAATAAATGTTTTAAAAAAAGAAATTGCATGGGGGCAAAAATTTAGTAATTGAAAATTATAGGCTTACCAACCCTAAAGATAGCACATCCTTCATGAATAACAAAAAATTACACCTAGAAAATGTATGAAGGTTTTGAATCCTCTGAAAGAACATCTGAATTTATAATTTATTGTGGTTTTTTCTAAATGTAAGTAATACTTTTTGTTTTATGTTATCTGCTTTTAAAATAAGTTAACATGCTTAAAGTGATTGGAAGTAGAAATCCCTTTTCTGACTCTGCTATTAGCTGAGTCATCTAACTTCTCATTTAATACATAGAATGACTAAAATAGCTAAAGAACTATGACAGTTCAACAATTAGAGACAGTCATAAACTGGACATGTATATCCTTGTAGGTAAGGTTGTGACCAAAGAGAAAATCCAGGAAGCCAAAGAGGTATACAAAGAACATTTCCAGGACGATGTCTTTAATGAAAAAGGATGGAACTACATTCTTGAGGTAAAAAGTAGTTTCTTGTTTTGATATGTTTTAATTCAGTTTCTTGCAAAGGCAGTTGAGGAAAAGATTGGACTTTATTTGGGATCTGGGTGCAATGTCTTTTTTAGATATTCTTGTGAAAAGCTAGAGTTTGTTTCCCCCCACCCCAAGTGCAAATCATGACCATATAGAAATCTGTAGAGGATCTAAGTAACTTATTAGGTAAATGAATTATAACTTAAATAACATTTTTCAGGAAAGTAGTTTAATCCATTCTTGAAAATCCCACCTAAGAACATATAATTGTTAGTGAAAGACCACCAATAATTTTAAAAGGACGTGATATTTGACATTTTCAAAATGTAGTTCTATTTCCTTGACTGAAACGAGGTACTATGAATCTATAACTATAAAATAATTGTGGAAAGTTTCACATGCTGAGTAGGTAAAATGGTTTTGTAGAAAAACATAAATTTTATTTTTTTATTTTATTATATAATATTGTATCTAGTATGTTCAGATCTATTGCTTAAACTTCTGAGCTTTTAAAGACATGAAGACTGCATTTTCACAGTGAATGTCCTTTGCTGGCTTCTGTAATACACTTGGAATCTGATGACATCTCAGTATTAGGTGTTATATTCATATCTTACAAATGCAAATCTTGCATGTATTAAAATAATGAGTTTTAGAGCCAGGTGTGGTGGCACATGCCTTAATCCCAGCACTCAAGAGGCTGAGGCATACAGTTTACTGTGAAATCAAGGCCATTCTGAACTATATAGTGAGACTTTGTCTCAAAAAAAAAAGAATTTTTATTTTTCCCATGGGTCTTTGAAAAAGTCAGGTGAATCTACCATGCCATGTAGTTAGCCACAGCTTTTAGCTGAAGGAAAGGCAAGGAAGGTTCAGTTAAATGCCCTATAGCAAGAGGTTCAGTAAATACCCGAGTTAGATCCCCAGTACCATATGCTGTGCCATCCCAGGGTGCCGAGCTGGCCACCAAAACCAGGTGTAGTGGCACACGCCTATAATCACAGCATTGGGGAGGCTGAAACAGGAGGATCACAAGTCCAAGCTGCGTATCGAGACCCTGTACCAAATTAATTAATTAAAAGATTAAAAATTAGCATCAGTGCCTAAATTGTTAATAATTGTAATTAATTTTAGTAAGCTAGGGATAGTTTGACTAGATTATTGCTAACAGTATAACAGCAGCTTAACTGAAATTTCTGTAACAGTAAGTTCAGCTTCTATTAGATGTAAAGAATCTTAAACTGCAGGTGAGTATCCTGTGCTAAATGAATGAATTCATTGTTGTTTCCTACCAGAAATACGATGGGCATCTCCCTATAGAAGTGAAGGCCGTTCCTGAGGGCTCTGTCATTCCCAGAGGAAATGTTCTCTTCACAGTGGAAAACACAGATCCAGAGTGCTACTGGCTTACAAATTGGATTGAGGTGAATAACTGTTGCTGTTGTTTTTCTTAATAATTGATGTTAAAAAAAATTATTGATGTTTAAAAAAATTAACTAGGGTTCTAGTTGAGAATTTGCTACTAATAAAACTATAATCTCCTGCAATTTACTTATCTTTTCCAATCTTCCGTTTCCTTCTCTATAAAATGAACATTGGATAGTTGAATCATTAAGGTTCTTTCCAGTGAAATCTAATGTTTAGTGATTTTATAAATCAAATTATTACTTTTAAAGTTCAGTTAGCTCCCTTTTTATTTAATTCTAAATTATATTAGAGCAAAATCAGAAAATAGCAAAAGCATATTTTTAGTAACTTAAGACATCTTACGAATATTCTGTTCCATTTAGACTAGAAGAATATTGTCCTGACTTTTTTTTTTTTTTCTTTTTTTGTATTTTTAGGGAAGGGTCTACAGGGTGTTCAGGGTCTCATTATTAGATCGGACTCATAGTGATCCACCTGTTTACACCCTCCCAAGAGCTGGGGTTACAGGCACGTAACCCCACGCCCAGTCTCAGTTGCTGTCTCAGCAAGGCCAGGGCCAACACAGCAGGCCCAGGAATCAAATCCCTGGGCCCTGAGCCTGCTTGCAGGTGCTTTAATCCACTGAGCTATTTGGCTGGCCCATGTCCTGACTTTTAATAACTACTTCATTCTTTCTGATCAGTTTAGATCCTGATATACTATCTGATATTTTTCAGCTTCTCATCTAAATACAAACAAGATTGACTCTTCATTATTGTTCAGTTCCTAACTATATATAAAAGGAGGACATATTCTGAGTTGCTGGCTTACATTGTAAGGCAGTTTTGATTTTCCTTTTCGTTGTATACCTTAAGTAGCCATGGGCTTGTTGTACAGTCAGTCATCACATTGTGGTATCAGTCTACTCAGCTTCTCAGCTGTGTGGTGTGGATTCTGTCTGTAAGAGGAGAACCCTAGGAGGTGACTATAAAGACACCAACTCTGTGGCCAAGGAGTATTTATTAACTTGTTACAACTCACTGTTTAGTTTATTGATTAAAATAATTTATGTTGTAGAATAATACATTTAAGTTTGACTTCCAAAAAAACCTAAAAAAGTTGGAAAATTAAGAAGGCCAAGAATATGTTTGAAGTATATATTACTAAATTATAGGAAAATTAAACATTATTACATACTTGTTAGACCATCAGCTAATAACAGGCCAATAATAGGTTCAGGAAAAATGGATAGTTTACTATGATATTTTAAAGTGATCTATACTATATGTTAAAACTTTGAATTAACTGAATTCAGGTAATAAAAATGTATATTCTTAGTTTTGTACTAGCAAATATTTGATTTTGAAGGAATCACACTACAAAAGCATGAGAATAGAGTAGTCGTTGTTTTGCTGATGCTAGAAATTGAACCCAGGGCCTTACACATGCTAGATCTACATTTCCCTGCCCTAGAGTCCCTAACCACATCCTCTGGAGTAGGCTTTTACCTTAAAATCCCAGAGATCCTCAATAGGAAGAAAATGCGTTATCTGAAAATATATGTACTGTACTTTTATTTCTCAAACAAGATTTCATCAGGAAGGACTATCCCTTATGTCTAAATGAGGTACCTTAAAGCAAATACTCATAAAAGTCTGTTGCCATTCCACCTTGCTTCTTAACTATAAGTAAACACTGGTCTTAATAAATTTTTGTTTTTTAATAACTATTACTAGGGCCAGCCAAATAGCTCAGTGGATTAAAGCGCCTGCAAGCAGGCATATGGACCAGGCGTTCAATCCCCAGGCCTACTGTGCCAGCCCCGCCCCCAGGGCGCGCTGAGACAGCAGTTGAGACTGGGCGTGGTGCCTCTAATCCCAGCTCTTGAGAGGCTGTAAAGAAACAGATCACTCGAGTCTGATCTAGTAGTGAGACCCTAAATACCCTGTATACCCTTCCCTACAACACAAAATAATAATAATAATAATAATAATAATAATTGTTATTGTTTTTGGTATATTTTGCTGACCATAAAGTAAAAAAGCATGTCAGACATCTCAACTGATAGCTTAATTATTAAACATAAGTCCAGTATGGACAAATTTTGTTTAAAAAGTATATATACACCCTTTTTAGTTTCTTATAATCTAAGTTTATGTTGTTTGCCATACATATATGTTTTAAAAAATCATTTCAATCCTAAGTACGTATTTTTGTACTATTCTTTCCTATAGTTTCTAATAGATCCTATCTTTAAAATAAAAAATTACTCTGAATGCACAGCTCATCTTTCTAATCAGTGTTCCTCTTCGGTAGGATGTTTTTGTGAAGGCAGAAGAAATTCACCCTATTTTTATTAATTCCCAATCGTAGGTTATACCTTGTATTTGAAATGTTACCAGATCTAACACATTTGTTTATCAACTTGAAGCTATTCTTAATTTAAAACACTTCAAATAACAGCACCAGATAGTATTTCTTTCAATTCTCAGTTTATATTGAAAGTTACTAATAACTGTTCGCTGATTGTTATTCACCTGATAGTAGTACATATGAACTTTGAAACACACTAAGATTACTGAGTTGCTTTATTATTTCAGTATCAGAAGAAACCTCATCCTCCCAAGAGATTTCAAAACAGGAGAGCCTAGAAGCTCTGGCAAAACAAAAGAAAAAAGGGTGACTAACAACGGTTCCACTGATGGAATGTCATTTCACAGATGAGGAAACTGAGTCCTAAGAGGCAAGCAGACAAGGGAGTGGTGCAGGCACAGCCCTTCTTCTGCACCATACTCTTTCTCACTCTGAGAAGCCCTTATTCTAGACATTGGCGTCATAATGGGCAGTTCTTAAAAGAAATTCACAGCTTAATGTACCTTAGTTTTCAGCTAGACTTTTACCTTGCGTGACAAATTGCTGTTTTGGAAGTTTTCAGCAAGGCCTACTTCATCAGACCTTGGATTAACCTGGACTAACTTGCCTTTTTTCCCTTGCTTACACCTACAGTGATCTTTTTAAAAGGGGAATGATTTTGTTAAGAGTATAATTTAAGCTGATTTTGTTGGACTATGGAAGGAAATGGGATGTGAAGGATCACTGTGTCTGATAGTTATTTCTCTCCTACCCTGGCATTTTTCGAGGGGTAAGGTCAATCTTCTACCTTTATGACTCCAAGTAGAGTTTTTCACATTATGTTTTATGTCTTTCTGGTATTCCTGCATAATACTGATATATGAGCTGAATGAAAACGTGAGAATTGATTGAATTAAATTCAACACATGTTTATTGAGCATAAGTAGCATAGAAAAAAGTGATAGGTACAAAAATTAGCATAAGATTTGTCTAAGAGCCCTGAGTATCAGGTGGTAATTCATTCTTACCTTACATCTAATACCATATAGAATTTATGCTGTGTTGGGACCAGAAAAACAAGTAAATCTGTCTAAACAATTATGAAACAGAAAGAAACTAACTTTTAATAAGAAGGATACAATGCTAAGCCACAACACTGTGTTTTAAGTATGACACATAATTCAGGGAGGGCTGCAGTGTAATGTTACAGAAGACAAAATTGAGGCGGTAAACTCAGCAAGCATATAGAAAGCCTCAGCTCCTCCTTATGAACAGTAAATGGCCATTCAGGGCTTTTAAGGCATGAGGCAGCCTTGTACTAGAAAGGTACCAAGTAGAAATATGAAGAATAAGTCACAGAAGCTGAAGATTAGGAGAAGGAGAATCCTGGTCATTGGCAGAGGGGTCAGAAAGGAATTTTAGGAGCAGAATGGTCAGAGTGGAGGTAGTTGGTTATAAAACATGAGTTTTAAGTTTCCATCGGCTTCATGTAACCCTAAAATTTCATAGCTTAACACGACTGTTGTTTCCCATGAGTCTGTTGCCTACTAGTCTGCTTGGACTTCTCCATCTCTGTCTGGCTGAGCAGTCAGCCAGGGCTAAGCAGCCTGAAGCAGCTCCCTCCCATGTCAGCTCAAAGAGCAGCTACTATCAGGACCCACTCATTGGTCAAAGCTTCTTCCCAGCACCTTAGTTTTAGGAAAATACCAGTGGGAGCTTCAAAACCTTGAAACTGGGGCTTTGAAGTCAGACAGCATGATTTCAGCCACATCATTTTGGTCAAAAACAAATCACAGAGATAGTCCTGAGTTGAAGGTGAACAAGTAGACTAGCTGTATTAACCAGCCACAGGAGTCATACTGCAGTATTTTTCTTTTTAGGTAACACGATTGGTGAGCCTAAGGTTAAGTAATCTGTGTTTTGTTTTGTTTTTTGCGGAGCCAGGGATTGAACTCAGACTCTTGCACTTGATAGGCAAGCACTTATTCTCCTGAGCTGTCTTCCCAGCCTGTATTTGTTTTGACTTGTTTTATTTACTGATCACTTAACTGGTATTTAGTAGAAGTTTATTTTGTAAAATTTAAGAAATTAAGTATCTTTTTGATATAGCTCATACATTGTCATTTCACAGTTCTTTCTAAAATAGCTTTGATACTGCTTCTATTCACATAAGGTTTATAAAATAATGATCTTAGAGAACTGAATTCCCATGCCAAAATCATTAAGCTGATTGCTGTGATGAGCTTTAGACTTTCATTGGAGTCTCCTGGCAGCCAAGAAAAAAAGAAAAATATCCAGTAGATAAAGCAGGGGTGAAGAAAATACAAACGTAGCATTTCTTCCACCTCATTTGAGAACTTGTAGCCATTGGCATTACAAAATGAGACAGTGACCTTGTAGTTGTGTGACAGAGGCAGAAATGTTTCCTGTGGCTTTCTTACAATAAACCAAGTTAAAAACAAGTATGAAGCATAACTCACTGAATAGAAGTCTTTCTTGCTAAGAATGAAATATCTCAAGTATGTGATTTACCAGTAGTCATACTAGATCCAGGACTACCTGGAGGAGGAAATGAGAAACTTTGTTAAACCAGTACCGTTCAAAATGTGGCCCATAAACCAGTGACCTGTTTGGTTTAGATGCATGTTAAGGAAAGAACTCTAAACACTTGCTCAGCGGACTAAGCACTTGCATAGGTAAGCACAGGGACCAGCATTCGATCCCTTGCACCGCATGCAGCGCTGGGCGCACTGAGCCAGCAATGGAGCCTGGGCGTGGTGACACACTAGGGAGACAGAAAACAGGATCACTGTAAGTCTGATCTGTGTAGTGAGACCCTCCCCCCCAAAACACACACACAAAAAAAAAACCCACTTGAAATCTAGACACTCTGGGCAATTTAACATTGCCTCCACATCCAAGTGTGATTTGACCTCATAAAATTATCAGTCTGGGCAGATGTAAAATTATTTTAAAAATTGGTTCTTTACCAGTTCATTCAAAATATTTGCCGTTTTGGAGTTTGAAATAGAAATGTGTTAATTTGAAGTTCTCCACTAACAGTCGTTTGGCATGTCGTCATCTTTGTTGCTGTTTTTGAGGCTGTGTACAGTATCCAAAATGTACAAGTTATACATCCTGTGTTTATTTGAAAAGTCTGATTGATATTTTCAGTGTGTGGAAGTGCAGGACATCCCTCCAGGGAAAGCTAGGATTTTCCCCCAGAAAAAGCCCCATATTATATGTATTAATTTTTGTGGTTGACTTTGTTACTACAGACTATTCTTGTTCAATCCTGGTATCCAATCACAGTGGCCACAAATTCTAGAGAGCAGAAGAAAATATTGGCCAAATACTTGTTGGAAACTTCTGGTAACTTAGATGGCCTGGAATACAAGTTACATGATTTTGGCTACAGAGGAGTCTCTTCCCAAGAGGTAAGATACTGCAGTGAACCTGGTTTAATAAAATATGGATTGTTAGAGTTGTGCTATAAGTTTTTCAAGATGTTATTGGGATTAACCTTGGTCTTTGATAGGCCAATTTTGAAATTTCAGAGGTTCGGTCAATAGATATATACTGAGAACCTACTGTGTATCAGCTTCTGTTCAAGATATGTGGGATATACTTCATATGTCCTAGTACTTTAAATAGTAGGTGGAGGATGGATAGACAGAAATATGGACATTATAAACATATCAGATAAGTAATGCTATAAGAGGGAAGGCAAGGTAGGAGAAGAGAGAAGCTGAGGGTGGGGTACCACTAGCTTGTGTAGCAGCAGGCAGTTTGCTACCCGTGACAGCTCTAAAGATGCACCATTATTGGCTGAAGTCAATAATTCCCTTGGAGGCTATGCAGACTATCATCAATATGAATTTTATTTTTTTCAATTTTGGTTTATGCTGATTTTCAGACTGCTGGCATAGGGGCATCTGCTCATTTGGTTAACTTCAAAGGAACAGATACAGTAGCGGGAATTGCTCTGATTAAAAAATATTATGGCACAAAAGATCCTGTTCCAGGCTATTCTGTTCCAGCAGCAGAACACAGGTAAAATTCTATTTGTTTTCATCTTCTTATGTCACACAAATACTGTGATGAAAGAGGCATGTGGGAATGTATTCAGTAAATGAACATGTAAAAAGATTTTAAAAAATAAAAAAGCATAGAATATGGTTAATACCTTCATACTCATTTTGACATTGCATGTGAACCATGTGCACTTTGTGCTAGCTTATACTTACACATTTTTGAATGGGAGCAAGCCCTGAAGTATTTAAGCAAAGAAGGTATGTTTTCAGAGATGTATTTAAAGAGTATTTTGATGGAAGTATAGCCAGTGAACTAAAAAAAGAAAAAAACTGAGGCTAGGAATCTTACAGAAGTTTTGAGATGATGAGATCCAGAACCTAGTGTTTAAATGAATGGGAAAAAGTAGACAAATGTGAGCAAAGGCTTAGGCAATAAAATTGTTAAAAGCTTGATCTCAGTTGGAGTTTGGTAGCGAATAGATTGAGCCAACATTTATCAGCATTGCTGTATTGGTGGGGCCTTGTTGAACACTTTTGCATGTAAGGTTCAAGACTAAAGAAAAGAGGGGGGCCTGGCCCTAGCTCAGTCCTTTAAGTGGCTGCTTCCGCAAAGCTGTCAGCCTCAGGTTGCTGGAGTTCGAACCTCACAACTCTCCCGCTGGCCTAAAGTGCCCTGAAGGCATTCGAGAAACAAAAACAAACAAACAAAAAAAAAAAAAAAAAACCTTATTCCAAGACTAAAGAAAAGAAAAAACTCGGGCATTGTAGGCATGTAAGCATTGAGGTTATTTTTATTTTTGACTTTTGTATATACACCTTTTAAGGATTTAATGTTAATCCTATACTAGGCTTTTCACTTGTAACCGTGTTTCTAAGCCATATTAACATCAGTATACCTTACACCTCAGAGTAAAGATGGTGTCCTCTCAGGGCTTTTCTCAGGGTGTTTCAGTGAAAAGGGCACTGTGTAGCACAGGATGAAAATTTGGTGGTTTTTTTTTTAATGGTCTTATGCTATATATTATATTTGAATCTTTAATATATACGAATGCTTTAGATATTCTTAAATAGAAATGTGTTAAGCAACAGTATAGTAAAAGAGGAGCATTGGGTGAAAGTTGGGAAATGTGCATGACCTTACAGCTGATGTCACAGTCTTTCAGTTTCTCCATCTAACCAAAAGGAGGAGGTGAAAAAGCAGTCACTTAATTTGGTTCTTAAAAATAGGGAAATAGCATGGCTTGAGTTCATTAATCAAATAGAACAAATAATTATGATGTCCATATAAAAATATTGATAAGAATAAGTGTTCTAGGGTTTTGCAGAGGAGGCTGTGGAACATGTCTGTGGCCTCCTCCATAACAAGTGCCACTAAACAAATACAGGAAACCCTCACTACTGGGGTATTTTTGCACACTAGGAGTCTTTCTTCTAGAAAGAGATTACAGAGAGAGACAAGTGCCCCCGTGAGAGCAGTGAGCAATACTGACATTTGTCAGGTTAGGTGGATGGAGCAGTGTGTGGGGGAGGTGGAAGAGGAGCCTGTCAGTGGAAGACGTGGCGGTAGAGAAAGGAGGCTTTGGGAAAGTTCACATACTGTGGGGAAAGCAAGGAAGATGAGAACTAAACATTGACAGATGCACACACAAATGGCAGAATCAAGAGGACAGTAGCAACTCTGAAGAAGAGGGCTTCTCTTTATGTGTATCTTTTCCCTTGGGTCTGCAAGGGCTTGCATGAAGCCAAAAACTGGTGTCAAAGCCATCGGCAGCCTGTATACTTTCTTTTTTCTTTTTTT